GGGGACTTCTCCAATGGATTGACATACCAAAGACACAAAACAGCACACGCATTATATGCGTCGGCACAATAATATACAATATTTCCCGGCATGGTTTACTTTCCAAACCCCGTTGAAGATACAAGAAATCCATTAAATAAATAATGCTTATAAGTAAGCTTATATAGAGAGATCCCAGACGCATGTAGAGGTCCTATTACCTATCCCAAAATTAAAATAAATCGGGAATAAATCACGTAAAATTAAACAAATGTGAGAAAGTAACGAAATACTTCGCCACAAAATGAAAATAACGAAGTAAAACGTTACTTCTTAAAACGACTTCATTCCAAGTAAAAGTACTCCAGAAAAAGTTTACTTTGTTACATAGTACAGTAACGAAGTGCATTTACTTCGTTACTTGATACCACTGGACTGGTCATATGACTTTTGAAAGCAAGCAATCGCACTGAAGTCTGAAACGACAAAGAACACGTAAAGAAATGTTAAATGTTGAACATGCCAAGTTTCTTCAGGAATGAATAATATTTAGCGATCATGCAGCAAACTACATTTAGTTTTTGATCTCCAATTTGTAGAAAGTAAATTCGGTTTCCTCCAAATGAAATCTACAACGTAATAATGGCTCAATGCAATGCAATGCAATGCAATGCAATGCTAAAGGAATACCGAATGGTTTTCCGTGCAGGATTGCGTGATCCATGCACGAGGGATGTCGCGAGACTTTCGGAAAGCGTACCAAAAATACTCGAGCCGCACGCCAGTGTATTTTTACGCTTTCCGACAGTCGAGCAACATCCTAAGCGCATGGATCACGCTATCCTGCTTGGAAAACCATTTGGTAAATTGTTTTATAAAATAACTACAGTGAAACAATGACATTTTGAGAATCCCGCGAAGGCATTTTAATTCTTCGTGCAGGATAGCCTGATCCAGCCATAGGCGTATGGGCCAGGGGGGGGGCACGGGGGCACAGGCCCCCCTTAAATTTTTACGATCGGGCAGAAATCCATGCGTCATACGGGCAAAACATAAAAAAACTTTCGAAAAATTATGTAATGTGCGGAAAATTTTTGTATGTGTGCGAAAATTACGAGATATAAGGGAAAATTTTTTTGTATGTTTGCGAAAAGTACGGGATATTAGGCAAAAATTTTTTGTATGTCCGGAATTTTTTTTGTATATTTGCGGAAATTTTTTTTAGCAACCCCCCCGCTGGCCAAAAATTTTGGGAGAAATATTAATTAGAGCCGGTCGGGCAAACTAGTATTGTGTGCCCCCCCCCCCCAAACAAGATTAGGCCCGTACGCCCATGGATCCTGCACAGCTATTGACCAATCAAATTGTGTGTTTCACCGTAGTTATTATATAAAAAGCAATGCAATGCAATGCAATGGCAAAGCAATACAATACAATACAATAATCATTTTCTAAAGAGGGTTTTAAGGCCTAGTCAATATACCTGGTCAAAAGACTAAGTCAGTACAAATTTTCGCAAGACTAAGTCAGTACAAATTTTTGAACATATGTCCAGTCACATATTTGCAGTGGTGAGGGACTTTGACTAGTCATGCTCTAAGACCAACACTTGCTAGAGCTAGGGTCTGGGCCCATACATGCACCCCAAGAAAATTTTGAATTTTCATGCAAAGAGAACAACAATGCTCATTCAAAGATACAGCAACCTTGCTTAGATAATTGGTAAATCTTTAATCAGAGTATCTGCCTATGCACCATGTTAACCCCTTAAGTGGCACTGTGCCCCACTTTATTAATTTTACTCTGTCTAATGGCAGCCAATTTTACTCATCAGGGGGAGAGTGCTGCTACTAAATGGGTTAAACAATTATATACTCATATTTCAATGCATACAGCAAATAAACTGGTAGTAAAAATATTTACATCAATACATAAAAATATTTACATCAAAACTTTCAAATTTCCGACCCCATTTGCGCGAAAAGGCTGTTTTAGCCCTTTTATAGGTCAAAATTTCGAAAATTAGGTCATTTTCCGCGAGAGGTGGAAACGCCGCCCCCCCCGCCCCACCGAGATTTTCGCCACTGCGATTGACATTGGCCGATTCCATATTCATGACTTGAATAATCGCAACAGAATTGCTGAATAATTCATCAGTATTTAATTTGGTTATGCATTCGAAGATGGGCATGACAGAAAGGAATATATTAGACTTGCCAGGGTACAACTAATGAGGGCCCCCTATACTTTTTGCGTGAAGCGTGAAGGGCTTATTTTACTTCGCCGTGAAACGTGATCGGGCCCCCTATACGTTTTGCGTGAAGGGCTTATTTTACTTAGCCGTGAAACGTGATCGATGATTTTCTTAATCTGTGACTCGTGAAGAGGCAAAATATTTTTACGTGAAAGCATATTGTGAAGAGGTATAGGGGGCCCTCACTAATGGGTGAGTTACCTGTTAATCATGCCATTAACATGCCATTGGGTGAAACTACATAATCATTTGTCCAGCTTGTTTAAAATCAGGGCAGCAAAATTAAGACCAGCATAATTAAGACCAGCATGATTAAGACCAGCATGACCTCTAGCCTTTCCATTACGTATTTGCCATTTACTCTAAGACGAAGATGGCATGAGGTTGATCGAAACACGAAATTTCCATATTTTTCAGGGGTCGATCTACCATTGAGGGTGCACCCCACCTAAACTATGGAAACTACAATTATAGGAACTAAAAAGGTTTAAATATTTTGAAAATGAGTAGGAAAGTATTAAAAAATTGGGGTTACCCCCAGGCTTTTAGCCAGGATCCTATAAGAGGGCGTCCAATTTTGGTATAATGATATATATACAACTACAGTAAAGGGGAGGGGTCCGAGAAAACGTTCCTCTGGAAAACCTTTGAAGTTGATGTTACTTTATGTCAGTATCTGTTCCAAGCTTGTTTGAAATTTTTCAAACACACTTGGCTTTGTGAGTTTGTGCCGCTATGCTTCTTTACTTTAATATGACATTTTCATTCAGCCAGGTACACCATCAAATTGATCAAAATGTCATATGTATAATGAGAATTGAAGCTATTTCGTTTCAGATAATAATATTAATACACTTAGGGAAATCATTGAAAATAATTTCCCTTTTTCCCCAGTTCCCGGGGCGTCCCACGACGCCTGGACGCCCTTCTGGCTAAAAGCCTGGTTGCCCCTTGTCATCAGTTTGAGGCCACCCCCAATTCAGGCAAAACTAGTTGAAACCACCTGCCCCCCCATTATTAATGACCAGTCCCTTAATTTTAGCTAGTAGATGTAGTTACAAAATTGTAGTTACAGTATGTGACGTCAATACGAAAGGGTCTATATTCATCGAATTTACTAGTCACATGTTCAAACTTGTTCCAACAAATAGCCACACACTTCTACAGCTATAAGAACTGTCCTCACGTCTGTACTGTAGTTTACATATTGTATTATATAATTGTTACAAATTTGCCAGTGGTAATAATTGCTTCTCACACATCTAACATCTTTATATATAATTGCAACAAAATATGAAGCAAAAAATTGTTCGATCTCGCAATGTTTGGATAGCCAGTTTTTTGTGATACATACTTCGGTACTTGCAGTCAAAACTAACCTTGACTCTGCTGGAGCCTTTTAACGGCAGCTGTAGTCCATTGATATCTTTGTGTTTAAACAAATAAAATGACGGTTCTTTTCCATTATTAACAAGTTCCAGAGACACTGATTCCATACTTAATAATTTCACATTTTCATTGTTGTGATGTACTTCGTGTAACCACAATATTGTATTTCACATTTTCGCCAATCTCGTTCCCCGAGCATGCCCGTTCGCAGGTTAAGGGTGGGCATAGCTCTGGAGAAATTAGCCTACGGTGTAGACCTAGCCTCCTCCGCAGGCAACTCTGTATGTCCCAGTACGGGTTCCCTGTGTAGTGTATTGGCGGGCGGGCGGGTTACGAAAAATATGGTGGAGTTGCCTGCCATATATCGACAATTATATCTGGTGTTGCGCATCGTCGTTGCGCATCAACAATTTCAATTTTATGGAGTTATGGGGGAGTGGGAAGGTACAGAATGACAAAAATTCAAAATGGCTGTCACTTGAAGATGAATTCGAATACTTTAGAGTTCTAAGTGGTGAAAAAGAAATTGAAGTAAAAGCAAGTTCAAGCTTTGAAGCAGCAGTTAAAATGGCATTTACCTTACATGTAAGAGAAGGTGGACAGCTCGATATCGATGGTCGTGGTGTAGTTTATATTACTGTTATCTCGCCAAATGGAGACGAATTTAAATATAGAGCTATTAATGCAGACCCTGTTGCTGTTGAGCTCCTGGAAAAAAATGTCAAAGTCTCCGAGAATGAAGTTAATACGGTGTCTACGACCGACGATCCTGTTGTTTATACTTTTACGAACGCGTCTGAGAGACTTGACTTTCAACAATGTGGCAGAGCAGGTCGTGATGGCTTGCCATCACACTGTAAGCTTTTTTATAATTACAGTGATAAAAACATTCTGTATCGACTGTTTGATGAACAAGTCATAGCACAATACAAAGGTGTAAATGACTTGATTGTACTTCTTGAAAACCCAGTGCAGTGCCTTCATCAAGGCATAATGAGCTATTTTGGAGAAAAGCATGATAGCTTTATATGTCTTACTGGATGCAGCAATTGTAAACACCGTGGAACTCATCAGATCACTGATGGTACATCAGATGCTTTAAAAGTTTTGCAAGCAGTTGTTGAATTAAGCAACATTAACTTAACATGCAATGATTTGAAGCTGTATTTAGCTGGTAGCAACCAGAAATGTGTGTCACATTTGCAAGAATATGCCACATTTGGAAGCTTAGGGAAGAAGTTTGTACCTGTTTCTTTGCTAGCAAAGTTCTTACATCTGTTAATTGTTGGTGATATCCTAACTGAAAGAATACACAAGAAAGGTACTGGCAGCAGCATTTCTGTTGAAATAACTCTTGGAAGCAAGGCTCATGACTTGCTTGCTAACAACTTTATGATAGATAAGTATGAAAAGACATGATTTGCTTCTTTGAAACAGATTATTAACAGAAAATATTTTGATTAATTAATGTATGCATGGACTGTAAAATATATTTTATATTCAAGCTAGCCTCCTCTGCAGGCAACCCTATAAACTCAGCATAAAGAACTGAATAATAAAGCATGTGCCCATACTGAGTCATTATTATGTACAGAGTTGCCTGGGGATGAAGCTATTATATTCATTACATTAGTCTCCTGCACAGGCAACGCAGTAACATCAGTATGGGTTCGATGTGA